AGCTCTTGAATCTGGGTGATAACCATGGCCATGGCTCAATCTCTTTGGGGAAGGGAATGGGGTTAAAAAAGAAAGTTACTCATGTCAGATTTGCTGTGGAGTTTTGCCTCTGTTTGGCCTTCAAATGTGTACCTAAGGGAAAAGTCTCAGACACACTTTGCCCCAACCTCTGGTTCTTCACTTTCAATTACGTATTTCTGAGAAAGGCACATAAAGGCACATAGTACAATAAATATGGGTCACGGCGAAAAGGAGAATGTCTCTTCAGGAAGCTGGGAAGCCGGGCACTTCCTCCCTCTAGCCTTGCAGGCCTGGCGGGGACCTGAGAGGAAGACTGTTTCTCTCTAGTGAGAACCACCATCCTTCCCCAGTGTGGGTGTTATAAGGAAAGCCAACGTGACAGACTCAGGCTCTGGGCTGGCCACTGCACTGGTGCAGACCCATGAGAGCAGGGTTACTAAAGCCTGCCCTGCATGAGGGCCCTGAGAACAGCCCAACTGTCTTCCCAGAGGGCAACTCATCTTCCTGGTAGGCTGGATGCAAACTAGATTATTTTCTTCTTCTGATTAATCTTCATGGGCCTCACAGGCTGAGAAAAACTTCTCTGAAGGTTGACTCCCCAGCCACGTTACAAGCTCTTCAAGATGGGAATCGGGGCAGCAAGTCACCTCTCCAGAAGGCCCAACACATGTAAGCAGAGACACCTATGCAAGTATGAGGGGAAGAGAAACATGTGTATACACGTGTGTGTGTGTTGGGGGGAAAGCTCAGTTGAAAATGTTAGAACAGGAGAATTCACACTATGAAACCTTAATTCTCCAGGAAATTAAGGCAAAGGCCAAAAAATGCCTTAGAAGTTGCTGATGCAATTCCAGAAGACTAAGAATCTTGCCTCAGCAATGACAGTTAGTTTACTTTTTTAAAAGGTGTCTTCAACTACAAAGTGCTTCTCCTAGTCAGGAGCCTGGCCCCTCCAGTACTCAGTGCACACACGTGAGCCCCTGCTCTCTGGGAGAGTCCATGGCCCAGGGCTCCCCCTCAAGGTTGGCCTGCCCACGAGGATCTGTGGTAGAGGGAGAGGAGGTCCTGGAATACTGACACAGGCTCCCAGCTCTCAGAGAAACCCTTCATAACCTTCAAAAAAAAACCAAACCTGTCGCCACCAATTCAATTCCAACTCATAGGGACCCTATAGGACAGAGTGGAACTGCCTGCTCTAAAGGGTTTCCAAGGCTATAAATCATTATGGAAGCAGACTGTCACATCCTTCTCCCAAGAAGTGGCTGGCGGGTTTGAACCACCGACCTTCTGATTAGCAACCTAGCAGCCAAGTGCTTTAACCACTGAGCCACCAGGTCTCCAAAATCCTTGACAGAGATTCAAATAAAACGTCACATGTTGCACCTGACCAGGCACAGTCCCCACATCACTGTGGAGGGGCTGGGAACTAGGACTAGATTCCATGTCAGTCCATTCCTAACCAGGCAGCCTCAGAGAGGGTGTCCAAGGAATTTTTGCTTCCCTAGGCCCCAGGCAGTGGTGAGGCGGTCCTCCACAGCATGAAGGAGTGGCTTCCTGGGCTTTTCACACTCACCCAAGCAGGCCAGTGGGAAGGGAGGCGCCAGCAAGCCGAAGGAGGCTTTTCTCAACTGATCATCTTGGGAAAAGCCAAGATACAAATTTCATGGCTGGAATGCAGGGGTTGTGAAACGCTGGAAGAAGCCCCACAGAGGGCCAAGGACTCTCCTTCCGGGAAGGTGGTGGGAGGAGGGCTGGCAGCAGTGAGTGGGAACAGAACAGGTTACCCGGAGGGGCCTGCCTTTCTGGGAAGCAGGAAGTAAGGCCTCAAGAAAGAGAGAGAGAAATCCCTGGCCCTGTGGTGGTGGAGAGGTCAGAGATAGGGTTGTTTTTGTTTCTGGACATGAAGAAAACAAGGCCTTGTGTCAAAAAGCAATTCTGGTAGAAACAAGCCAATTATGACACAGCTTGTTATTTCTGGGGTTTGGAATCACCAGGGCTTACGGTGTGTCCTCCCTGGAGTTAAGTAAGCATAATAAGCTTCAAACATGGAGCTTTCGCCCCAACCACCACTCTGTCCTCAGTGTCATGGAGAGGTCCCTGTTAGATAAGGTTCACCAATGAGGGTCACTACTAACTCAGAGACACGTCTTGTGTGTCCCCACACATCCCCCATGGGGGTCCCTGTGAATGGGATAAAGAAGATCATACCTCTTTTAATGGTTGACAGACTGCCCTAAGCTCCACCCCTGACTAACTTTGGACAAGTTACTCATTAGCTTTTCTGTACCTCACTTTCATCTATAAAACAGAATAATAAGATTATCTGCTTCACAGTATGGCTATGAAGATGAATTACACTCACATATGTATAAAGCATTATTTTAAAAAAAAGTGTCTGCTGGTATGACTGACTCCCTCAAACAGGCCAGAACCCAGCTGCTAATGCCCAGCCTCGATCAGCTGTTCTGACGCTCTGATCTACCTCTGCAGCTTCCTCAGACCATCTTCAGACCCACGAGGACCCATTCGTTACAACTCCCTAGCCCAGAAGTCCTGACACAAGGAAAATCAGACACACAGACAAGATAAGGCCCGCGCTGGTGGCCCCCCCACCACGGGGAGAGGAGCAAACACTGTGCCAGCACATTTTGGGCCAGCTTCCTCAGTCGCAATCCATGTGGTTTATCTGAAATGAGGTCAGGTCCCAGAGTGGGCAGCACAGATATTATGATCGTGCTTGCAGATCTGAACTGAGTCCATCATCATCGATCCTGAGGTAACAGGGAGCTAAGTCTGACAGACCAGAGGGATGGTGGAAAATGGTCTTGGCATAGGAGGAGGAACCGTTTCTCAATCGATTGCTGACAAATCCATAGCCAGCACTGAGAGTCTCAGAGGAGATGTCCTGACTCCTTCTGGAATATAGATTCTGGCACTTAGGGGACTGACCGGGTTCGTATGAGCAGCAGGGAAGGGAGACTATCCCAGAGGGCTGGCACCACTGATCTAGTCCCCAACCACTGTTCCATATCTCAGCCAACTCAGGCCAAAGGGTGGAGGCGGCAGCAGCCTCTGCCTTGTGTCTACAGAGAGCCCTAGACCAAATGGGATGCCCCATTGCCCAGTCAGGGGTGGGCTGAGTCTGTGCAGAGAAACCCAGAGCCCTGTTACCCCATGCCATGTCAGGCGATGCAGCATCTGGAAGCCTGCCCAAGACAAGAAGTGAGATCTCAGGCCTGTCCCAGATACACGAGAGGGACAACAGGGTCTCTGCAGGGTCCCTTGCCCGCTGCCCAGAGAGCCTGGCCTTCCTGAGGACGGAGGGTCATCTGGACTGAGCCCGTCTACAAGTAACAGGCAATCTGCTTGAGCCTTCAAGTCTGTAAGGACCTCCTGGCCTCCTGCCAGTGCCAACAAGGCCCATAGCAAGAAGCCAAACTCAGGGCATGGGAAGGAGGGTGGTCCCTAGAACAGGGTATAGACTCATAGGCAGACAGCCTCCAGATGCCCCAAGACCCAGCCTGGCCATCTTCTGCTGCCTCAGGCCACCTCCTTCAAGGCAGCTGACTGCAGAAACCCACTGGTCGGAGCTGAAAGTCACTTTGAGGTGGTAGTGGAGGGTTCTCCAAAGAAGGCTTCTTGCCAAAGAGCTTCTAGATGGTAGATTCACCAGGTGAGCCATCTTGGGCAGCCCTGTTCCCAGACTAACTCTTCTCACTCCACAATCCGCTCCCAGGATGAAGCCTCAACTTTAACCAACCAGGCCTTCCCTTGCTCCATCCTTTTAGCTCCCTCCCCTGCTTGTTAAATTTCCAGGACATCTTCTAGGTTCCGCTCATGTTTTTCCTCCTCCCAGAAGCTCTCTGTAACTACTCCAGACCATGGTGACCTCCCTTTTCTGTAGTGTCCTGAATCACTACCACTCCTGGGGATCCTGGATGGGCAACTGGGGCTAGAATCCAAAGCAGCAGCCATTCCCAGCAAACAGCATCTATAGCCACACTCATGCCATTAAAAAATTCATTGTTTCAGCTCACGCTCCCCAGAAGGAAGGGCCTGTGCCCCAGATGCCCCTCTAGGCCCTAGCTTGCCACAAAGCAAGTATATAATAAAGACTTCTTAGAAGAGGGATGGCTCACTCTGACCTTGCAGGATTAGTCAGCCGCCCCTTAGCCCAGGGCATGGGGCAATTTCCTCACTGGCAAGCAGGGTTCCTTCTCTGGGCTGCCAGCTCCCAGGCATTCCCTGCCAGCAGCTTTTCCCTAGAGCTGTTCTGGGACTAAAGGCAGAAGGGGTGCCCAGCCTACCACTTGTCCCCTACCAGAGGAGAGGTCAACAGGAAGTAGATCTGACGGGAGACCAGAGTCTCCCAAGGGCTGTTGGGGCCCCTGGGCAGGCAGCAGAGGCCTGCAAAGGACTTCCCTTCCCTTCTCTTCCCTCCCCTGGGCCCCAGGGAAGGGAGGCAGGAAGAGGGGCCTCGGCAGCGGGCCTCCAGTACGGGGCTGGCCAGACAGGGAGGCCCCTGGGGTTGCGGCTATCAGCCGGAGACCAGGCTCCAGGAAGGAAGGAAGGGCAACTCTGGCCGAGGTTGAGATAAGGAGGGGAACTGTGCTCAGCACAATGGGCTCCCACAAGGTTGGGAGGCCCCAAATCAGATTTTGCCCCAACCTGGCCTCTGTCTGTCCACACAGCCCATGTAAATATTTACTGATGTTTATATTCCCGGTCCCCTCTGAAGCCCTTTGCTATGACCCACAGATCTGTATAGCCCAGACCATGCCTCCCCCAAGCTTAGACCCTGGGCCCATATAGCCAGGGTTGTGCCACTGTTTTCTCTCATGCAAGCCACAGGGACAGGACCTTCAGCACAGAAGTGTCCCTGCCTGTCCAAGCCCTGCAGGGTGACAAGCCCCTCAACAGAGCCCCTGGCTACTGCTGTTGGGAAGCTATACAAACCCCTCTGTGGATGGGGAACTTACGGGGCCCGGTCGTGGGTGAGGCCATTCTGTCGCTGAGGGTTGATTGGCGGGAGAACGGGTTTGCTGTTGATCTCGAGTCCTCTCCTCAGGGTCTCCCGGATCTGCTCTGTGTCTGCAATGACATCACCAGGTTGCCCAAGGGCGCTCTGGGCTTCCAAAATGCCCCAACCTGCCCTTGAAGCCTGCAGACATACTGGGCAAAGGCCCCCACGCTGGCTGGTCCTGAGCCCGCTTTAGATGTGAGACTGAATAAGCACAAACTAAGGAGACAGAGCAGATGGTATACAACATGCTCTCCAGAAACTTGTCAAAAGAGCAGGTAAGGGGTGGCCTCTGGACTTCAGAAGAGAGCTTTCCAAGACAGGCTTCATCTCTGCTGTCTTTCCCTTCCTGTGTCACAGGTCCTAGGTTTCCCTTAAAATAGCTTCAGCCAGTGATTGACCGACAAGGACTTTGTTGCTGCCCAAATCATCCAGGGATTCTACACACTGAGATGGATATCACGAGGGTTGCAGGTGCTCTGCTGTGAATGGGCAGGGGCTCCTTACACAAGTTTCTGGGTTCTGGGTGGTCTGGCGTCTGGCCCTGTCACCCTCCTTGAGCCCAGGCCAATAGGCTGCTGCAGTCATCCCCTTACCTTAGCCCTATCCCAGGGAACTCAGCCTCTCCATGGATCTGGCTTAAGCCAGGAGGTGAGAGAGAAATCCTCTGGTGGGGTTTTCTTTGCAAGAACTTTTGCTGGTCTTGGGGGTGAACCTTACTAGTCTGGTCCCTATACAGAGATTCTGATCTACAATCCACCTCTGAAAATTACCCATCATCCCTAAAAAGGCAAATTAACATTGGCTATTCAGAGGGTGGGCTTAGAGTGGGGAGGAAATAATTATCAATTTTTCTAACTTGTTACAGTGGCCTGGATTACTTTTGTAATTTAAAAAACAAAGAAACAACCAATGATGGTTGAAATTTTAGACAAGATCATGAACCCTTCCTTAAGTTACGTCTTTTGTCAAAAGCAACTGAATGATTCTAATAACCGTATAAAGAGCTCTGGTGGCGCAGTACCTGAAGCATATGACTGCTAACCAGAAAGCTGGAGGTTCAAACCCACCAGCCACTCTGTGGAAGGAAGCCCACACAATCCACTTCCGAAAAGATTTATTGCCTTGGAAACCCAATGGGGGTCAATATGAGTTAAAATCAACTCAGTGGCAGTGGATTTTTTTTTGGGGGGGTAATAACTGTACACCCCCTCTCTGCACCTCCTAGAGGGTTTGGCACATACTAGCACAGAAAGAAAGGAAGGAAAGGGGTCAAATATTTGCACTAGAGGTTTATGTTGTCCTTTCTGGGAAGAGAAAGTCTTTGATACATTTTATTACATATGTGGGGATTTTATACAGGGTGTAGGGATCTTATTCTCCAAAAAAAAATAAGGAAAGATAGAGGAATAGAGAAAGGAAGTGGAAAAGGAGTCTGGAAACATGAGTACATGTAAAAGGCTGCTTTTCCATTGGCGTTAGCTAGGGATGCCCTTTGCTGAAAACCACAACTGCTTCTATAGCCAAGACCAACAGGGTGAGCTTCCGCAGGGCAGCCACAGCCTCCTTCTCTAAGGCCCCACCCAAATGCAGTGGGGACAGGGTGCTCTGCCCAGAGCCCCTTCCACTGCAGGACAGTGGAGTGGACCATGTGCAAGGTGGCCTCACCCTCAGACCTCTGAAGGCCTGAGGCCAGAGTGAGTCTGGTATCTGGCATGGCTTACAGGCCAGAGCAGGATGCTGTGTCAATTCCGTGGGTGGCCGATGCTTGTTCTCTTGCATTTGGGTGGACTATAGCCCTTTCCTGTAACTGTTCTATGGCTTCCATTCACCTCCGTGACCTCAGATTGAGAGGGGTAAACCTAAAACACAATAGTCACTGCTGGTGATGCATGTGAAATACACACAGGAAACACAGCTAGAAATGGGCCAATGAAGCTCCCTTAATCCCAGCCTGCTGGAAGATTTCATTTGCTGGGTAACTCAGACCAGGAAATAAACTACTGCCTGGGCTGTTTTTGTTAGAGACCCACCCATACCAGAGGGCCTGCAGACCAGGTCTGGGGAAGAAAGAAGGGAAGGCTGGTTAACAGTTCCCACCTTTGCCAGAGAGCCGCCGGGGTTGCGTGCCGATACAGATGCTCCGGCTGTCTTCATCATCCTCAGGCGGCCGGCTCAGGTCATCCCAGGCACACTTGGCACTGACACCGCTCAGGTTGGAGCCGTCTGACTCGATGCCTTTGTCAACTCTCTCCTGCTTGAAAAGAACCAAAGGGCCAGAGTTTCTTCAGCTAACTGGTGGCCCAAGGCCACTGCTGCCCTGCTGAGCCATCCACCCTTTCCCTTTGTAGGTGCTGATCATGGGATGGGTGTGGAAGAGCAGGGTCTCTGACTTTGCTCTGTCCTGGTTACTAATGGATGATGCTCTCTGCCAGCCACTGGACTCCTCCAGGGGAACCAGGAGGAATGAAAATCCTAAGGGGAGCTGCTTCTCCTCTCATCAACCTCCCAGTACAAGCACCTTCACACCAGTCACAGAGTCCCACCTACGACAAACTGATGTTGGCACGTGGAACTGATGTGCAGAGACAGAAATCAGTTCCCTGAGGAGGCCCAATCCTTCCTCTCCTCCCTGGTCCTTCAGGAAGAACACCCTGTGTTCTAGAGCAGCAAGGAAGGCCAGCACTCAGACCAGCTTCTCACGGATGGCACATTTAAGCTTCCTCTTCTAACAGCTAGAGGGTGTGGTTGCGCAGAGAAGCGCCACCAGAGAGCAGAAGGCTAGACTTCCCTTAGGTGCCATCAGCTAACTTGTTGGGCAAAGGACTCTGGATGGCGTTTCTTTTCTATTTCTTAGACCGAAATGTGGGCCTGGAGGGTAGCTGCAGACCCTACCAGAGGCCCAACCTTAGTGCAGGCTCTGGCACTGCAGAGCCCAAACCGAGCTCTCCAAATGGCCTCAGGGAAGAGCTGTACTCAAAAGATCCTTGGGATTTTCTGGTAAAACTTCGTCCTGCGATGCTGGGCTCTGGATTAAAGGTTATCTGAAAGGTTGTAGCAACCTGGCCCATTAACAGCCACGTAGGCCAAAAAGAGCTCCCTGCGAGCTAGCACCTCGGTAAGAGCCTGTACAGCTCAGCCTGCCTGGCCCTCCCCCTGTTGCTCCGCAGGCACTACGTGGCCTGCTGGTTGGCCAGGGAGTCTAACTGGGGAAGCACAAGGTGTTGTCCCTATTGCTGGAGACTAGTCAGCAGGCAGCCCATCCCAGATGCCTCCTCTCAATCAATCACAACCTCCTCCTTTCCAGTGCTACCATCAGCCCAGGGATTAGGAGGGCGGAGAGCCTGGGGGCAGGGAGGCAGCTCTAATGCTCTATGGAGAGAGTATGTGGCCCTGGTCTGCTCAGGGTGGAGCTTGCACTTTTCCCTCTCCATTAGCTACCCTGACACAGCTCACCTAGGAAAGAGATGAGGAACCCGCTCAGCTCAACCAGTCCAGTCTACTTGATTCATGTGTAAAAAGAAAGTGCCAAGACCCAGAAAAGTTAAGAGGCTCGTTTAAGGCACACAGTTGGTTAATGGTAGAGCTTGGAGCAAAGGAGCATGAGCCAGCTTGAAAATGAACTGATTGCAAGCAGGTCTCAGAAAGGCCCAAGTGGGTACAGGGGAGTTGACCCTGGATGCGCAGAGCCACCAGGAAGGAAAGCTGGGCTTTCTCCCCACAGCCCCACTGCTTGTTTTTAAAACTGCTAGGTGCTCTGGTTCCTACTGGCTGGTCTCAGGGAAGTCTGCAGATTAGGGAGGAGAACTGTTCTTGGCATTCAGAGGAAAGGCAGTTTGCTTACCCTACTAGTTCAAAAGACCAGCCTCTTCCTTAGTATTTGGCACTTATGATAGGGGCCAAACAACAGCTCACAGTGCCCCATGCTGGATCCCAGTGTGGCTGCAGAACAAGGGCTTAGGGAAACATAGCCTGTGTGGGTTCCTGCTTCTGGCATAAGCAGAAGCTACAGGGAACCCAAGTTTAAAGGAGAGATAACAGAGGATCCTGGCAGCACCATGAAAAGGTCAGTGCTGAAGGCACCAGGAAAACAGAGGAGCAACATCTGTGACTGAGTAGGATTTAGGCCCAAGAACTCACAGGTCTGTGGTAGAAAAGCCAGGGAGTGCTGGCTGCACGGCTGCTTGCCCCTTCTCCCCTGCTCTGGGCCACGTCACCCCTGGCAGCTGCCTGTGGCTGACCAGGTATTTACAGAAGCATAAAAAGCTCAGAGAGGACAATGCCCGGCAAGTGGTGGGGGAAGGTAGGAGACGGCCAACAGGTGTCAAGCACCTGACTAGCTGTCTACTGCTCCCGATTAAGTCAGGTGTGGTCTACGTGGCTTTCAAAATTGACCTGTATGCAAAAGGAGCACTTCTGCTAAAAAACCAAAGATGACCCTGAAACTGTCTAGGCAGGCCACAGTGAGTAGGCGCCTGTGGGCATAAAGACATCCTTCACATCTTAAAGAATGCCAGCCTATCTAGGGCAGGGAGCTTGGGGTCTGACTGCCTGAGATGACAAGGTGTCTAGAGGGGGATGGAAGCATTAGACTGATGAGCCCTCACTCCAGGAAATGGGTGGTGGGGCCCACATCCTTGAAACTACTGTCTGTTACAGGTGTGGGTAGGGGTGTCTCTGTGCTCTTTTAAGAAGTAGAGGTATGGGAATGAGTGTTGGGTGACAATGCTTACACACTGATTTTCCTCTGTTGCTACTGGGCTTATTTTTTAAAAGCCAGATTTATTGATGTATAATTTACATAAAATAAAATCTGACTTTTTCAGTGTAAAAACAAATGCATTTATTTCAGGCAAGCTTTCCTGGCCTGAACTCTCGGCTTCCCCATGCATTCTGCAGAATCCAGGTTCCAAATCACACTGCACATCTATTCACTCGCAGATAAAGCTCCTTTGCTTTCCCAGGATGAAAGCCAGTGTTATGTGGAAGAGGCTTAGGGCACAGTGTGCTAGAAGAGTTTCCTCACTCAAGACATACTTGCAGGTGTGGATCGATCTCAAATATGGTCTCTCCCCTCCTCATGTCAGTTATCAGCCAGGGGCCGCCAGCGCTGTGGACAAGGAAAGGCAAGATGATGGTAACTGAGGGTCTAGGTCTGATACGCTGGGCCTGCAGCCTGCGTGGTTTGCTGCCCCAGGCCCAGAAACACAGCAGAGCAGGGATAGTGGTCAGTGACCACCAGGAGTGAGCTGTCAGGAAGCCCTGATGGAAAACCAGTGCCTGAAACAGTAACAAGGGGTGTCCCGCATGTGGTGCCCCACCTCAGGGCCAGGGAGCAGGCCCCACCTTGGAGGACAGGGGTGTACTCACACAGGCACTGTCCGCAGCAGCTCCAAGATGCCCTGTCCATTCCACTGCTGGGCTGCGTGCAACTCTTCAGTGCAGACACCAACAATCTGAGGCCCAGGGACAAGACACTGTGTGTGCTAATGCCCCTTCTCCCACCCTCCCAGAAAGTCAGCCACTCAAGTTCTCTCAGGATCACCTCAGATGAAGGGACCATAGGCAGGATCTGTGTGAGGGGGGCAGTGTGTCCAGACCAGACTGTTTTCTTAGGAAGGAGCGAATGCCTGGCTAGGAAGAAGGTGGATCTACAGAGAGGGCACTGAAGGTTGACCTGGTCCTGCTGTGATGGAACAGGTGTCTGGCTGATGCAGAGTCTAGCGCTAGATGGAGAACATCAGGATCTTGGGCAACTCAGGATGGGTCCCCAGACCATGTCTCTGGAAGTAGGGAAGGTCCAGGGAGACATTGTGGCCTCATCTAGTATTGTTAAGGAATATAAACAGAGGAGATTTTGAGATCCTTCAAGCTGGGAACCATGACCAATGGGCCCCAATAGTTTCCAGAGAAGCTCCGTTTCCATATCAGTGGCTGAGCCTGTGGGTAAATCTCATGGGAACCAACGGAATCTTCATTCAGATCTCGTCATGACCAGAAGCAAGTCGTCGGCTGCAGCTGTGGTGGATGGATGCCCACCCAACCAGGTAAGGGCGAGAGCAGCCCAGAGCTGGCTTCTTGCTGGGAGGTCCCGTGCTGAGGCCGTCTGGGTCTTCATTCGTTCACAAGAATACTCTCCCTATTACCTTCCTCTCAGCTACAGTTATTCTCTCCCACCCACATGGTCCCTTCCACTTTGTCCCATCTCAGGAGGTTAAATCAAACCATCTGCATCTAGCTGACAAGTCCTTCGAGAAAACAGAAAGTAAGAGAAGACCAAAGGGGAGCTCCTGCTCCTTCACTCCCCCTACCCAGGTCTTTCTGTTCTGCCAGGACTATTCCCACAAGGAAAGCTCGAGTCAGCAGCCATCCCTCATCTCACCTGGAGGAAGGAAACAATGCCAAAGGGCGTCTGCACGGGTTGCATCTGCGGGTCCTCTGTCAGCAGCATGTGCTGAATTCTTGACTCACTGTTATCCAACGGGCTGTGCCAAGACACATGGTCCCCGCTGCAGAAGGTGTTCTCTGTGGGAGAGAGAAGAGGCTCCTCAGTGCTTGAGGCCCCCGATCCAGGCCTGGAATCTGACCTGGGATCTGAGCAGTTCGCCTTCCAGCGTAGCCCCTGTGAAGGAGGGGAAACATCACTCCAGATAGGAGTGAAGAGTTTGTGGTTATTTCCAGAAAATCAAGTGTACTTCCTCTGCTTGCCAGCTCTGTCAGCCTTCAGTGGAAAAGGACAGGCTGCCAGTGTGGGTGCTCACTTGGCCTGGGAAGTCCAAAGACTTCCGGCATCTGCTTCACTTCCCAGCACCCTCACTCATGCTAGGCGTAGGGGTGGGCAGACCCAATCGCAGCTGCCAAGAAAGAATAAAGTGCTTTGCTATGGGGCTGCCTGGGTGAGGGCAGTGAAAACCCTTCACCTCGGGAGGACCGACCAGGGTTTCTGTGCTGCTGAAATAGTACTCAAAAGGGACTACCCAACCTGTGTGAGCCTCGGAGATCTGTCACCAGTTTCCCCACAGGTGGACAGATGTAGGGACTTCTGAGAAACACTGCAGGCTTTAAGTAAGTGGAGGTCTGGAGAGTGCCTCAGAGAGGTGGCTGCTTCCATGAGAACATGGGCACCATGCCAGGCTGCCTGAGAAACACATGCATATGCCACCTTGTAGAGGCCATCACTGCATGCTACCCTACTATCCCATTACTACAAAAAAATCTTTTAAAAGGTACAGACAACAAAGGTAAATACTTCTACATATACGATACTGCATTATGATTAATAACAAACAGTAATCTACAGGTGGATACATAAATAGACAGGTAAAATGATCACATATGGGTAGATGAAAGGGAACAGACCTATGACCAATCCTCACAACTGGACCAATGAGCAGCATCGCAATAAATGGAGAGAAGATTGAGGTTGTCAAGGAATTCACGTTGCTTGGTTCTACAATCGATGCCAACAGAAGCAGCAGTCAGGACATTAGACGACGTGTAGCATTGGGAAAGTCAACTGCGAAGGAACTGTTTCAAGTGCTGAGGAGCAAGGATATCTCCTTGAGGACTAAGGTGCGCCTGACACAAGCCATGATATTTCCAATTGCCTCGTATGCATGTGAGAGCTGGACAATGAATAAGGAAGACCAACGAAGAGCTGATGCTTTTGAGTTGTGGTGTTGGTGAAGAATGCTGAAAGTACCATGGACTGCTAAAAGAACTAACAGATCTGTCCTGGAGGAAGTGCAGCCAGAATGCTCCTTGGAAGCAAGAATGGCCAGACTTGGTCTCACCTATTTTGGTCATGTTGTAAGGAGGGACCATTCCCTGTAGAAGGATGTCATGCTTGGTAGGGTGGAGGGTCGATGAAAGAGGGGGAGGCCTTCAACGAGATGGATTGATACGGTGGCTGCAATGATGAGCTCAAGTATAGCAGGGATTGTGGGGCTGGCACGGGATCGGGTGGTATTTCGTTCTGCTGTGCATGGGGTCGCTATGAGTCGGAAACGACTCGACGGCACTTAACAACAACAACAACAACAGACCTATGACCATATATAGGGCTCGACAGGTGATATTCTTACATACATATTTAAATGTGCTATGACAATGTTCATATATATAAAACAGAGCTAACAGGGGGCAAAGTTATGATAACTGCTTAGCCACAGTTAAAATGTTGAAGGAATGAGTTTCTGGGCCCCTGGGCTCAGGACCATAGTCATAAGGGTAAACTGGCATAACACTGTCCACAAAGACATTGTTACACATCCTACTTTGGGGAGTAGTGACTAGGGTCTTAAAAGCTTACGAGCAGCCATCTACGATGCAGCTATTCTGATCTCTCCTCATCTTGAGCCAAGAGTGATTAAATCAAAGACGCATGGGAACAATTAGTCCAAGAGATTAGTGGACCATGGAAAGCTCAGCCAACATGACCCCGAGAGCAGAAGAACTAGATGGTGCCCAGCTATCACTGCCAACCACTCAGAAAGGGACCAAAATTTGAGATCCTGGATAGAATGTGAGAAAATGTGGCACAAAATTCAAAATCATAAACAAGACCAGTGTTACTGGTCTGATGGAGATTGGTGGAACCCCCAAGGCTATGGCCCCTAGTCAACCTTCAGGCCTGGAATTGAACTCATTCCCATGGCTTCCAGGCAAACAAGAGACAGGCCTTATAGGTAAACATTTTTTTTTTTTTTAATTTTATTTTGATTTGGGTGAAGATTTATAGAGTAAATTCACTATTCATACAGCAGTTCACATATACTTTGTCTCATGTCATTGACCAAAATTTACAATGCAGCAGCTCCCCTCCCACTTCCTC